CATCGTGTGATTGAATGAAATAACGTTATTATAAGATATTGATCTTAACATTGTACATGTACCATAGTTGTTGAAAATTGTCAGAGTAAACTCGTAAACATGTACATGCACAGTGCGTTATCTGTCAGAGTGCACGTATTAGTTACCCGCACTCTAGAGAATGCCCATTGATTGGCTAATTTTTCTAGGGTTTACTGATTGTGACGACAGAGAAAGAAAAAGAGATAGCAATATCATATTCATTGCTCGTTTATAAGCTACTTTCTTCTGGGGTTCTTAATGTGACAACAAGAAAAATGTTGTTATTCTTAACTATGATACAAATAAGAAATAGCATCAAAACACTCGGCAATTTTATTTATACTCGGGGGCTACGCCCCTCGTACAAATCAGATAGCCTCGTATTTTGATGCTCTTTCTATTAATTAATTTGAGTCGAGTATTCAATGTAAGGATATTATGCCAATAACGTCATTACAGATCAAACATACAATACGGGCTTTAATTTTACTGAAAATAAAATATCAAAATATCTGATATTCACCTTTTAGAATGCTTGAGAATTTTGTTTTGTCTTCTCAACATTTATCCTTTATTTGTTTAATGTTTCCATCTGCTGTATATTAATTATAAAAAAGATATTTGAAACAAAGCGATTTGATTATTACATCAAGTTATAGAAGTGTTTTCTGTTTTTAAATAGGGTTATTAAAAGAGTAAGTTCTTGAAGTGCGATCGTTGTAATTTGCGAGAGTAGGATTATAGAGTAGGTTAGCTATCCACGAGACGTGCATAAAGTTGTCAGTTCCATAATACGTTTTACGTCCACGAGAGCCTAAAAATAAAGCAATTACTAATTTGACCATGAACGTAGATGGTAATCACCATTAGCAACGTCTTTAAACGAAGTTGGCTTTAAACGATATAAGGTTATTTACGATTAACGAGTAATTGACGCAAAATCGTCATTATGTAATGTTATTACGTTTGAAAGACTATTACGTAATAGTATAAGGTTAGCAAGGCCATTACTTAACAAATAAAGCATGGTCTTGAGGGCAATATGCAAGTTTACGGACTGGTTGGTCAGACTGAGGAAGGTATATGACCTGAAGCCCAGCTGAGGGTCATATACCTAACGAGGTCTAAACAACCAGTCCGTAAACTTGCATTTTGCCCGAATAAAAGGCCATGTTTCATCTGTTATATTATACCGAATCCTTTCACCCCTTTTGTTGCTGTCATTTTTACTATAACTGCCTTGCTTTCAAGTAATAATTTTATTTGTTCAGTGTGTGAAATATCTCAAAACCTAATCGGATTTTTTTTTAAATTATTTTCAATCGATGCAGCTAAAAATCATGCTTTTGTTTTTAATATTCTATTTTTGTTAATCAAATTAAATATTAAATGTTTCTAGTCAATAAACAGGACTTTAAAAATTTCACAAACTGTATAAATAAAATTTATAATTTAATTAAAGACAAATCATGATTTTTGATCAACATTAAATATATAGAGGATATTGAATGAGTGTAAGTTCAATACGAGTTGAATAAAATTCAATATTTTAATAAATTCAGTAGTGAAGTTACTTACATGAATTAATTCTATCTATCACATATCCAAAATAAAGAACGTTTAAAGTGAAAAAAGTCATAATTTAACGCTAACATTAAGCGCATCTTTACACTATGTTTGTATAATACTAATGACATCACGTCAAAATATATGCACGACCGTGCAATACAATTTTTACAGGGTCGCAAAATCGGCTGGGATGTGTGATTAATTTATATGAAGCAAATGTATTTGTCTCATGTTTTTGTATTGTAATGCAAACTGGGATATATATTTAATAAAACTTGAAACTTGAAGCATAAAAAATGATTCAGTACAAAGAATAATTAAAAACAAGTAAATATTATACCGTATTCACATACGCCCTTCTATATTTAATATGACGACATCCAGTCCATATATGAATTATAGACTAGGTAGCCGGTCTGCCTGCGATTAATGGACCGCATGACGTCATATTAAATATATAGAACGGCGTATGCAAATGAGGTATAATATTAAATTGTATTACGTTAGAAACGTCATTACTTAATGGTATTTATTTAGCAACGTCATTACATAATGGTATTACTGAATGGTATTGCGTAAGCAGGTCATTACGTAACAGTATAACGTTTGTAAGGTCATTACGTAACGGTATTACGTTAGAAAGATCATTACTAAATGGTATTACGTTAGCAAGGTAATTACGTATTGGTAAAAAGATAGCAAGGACATTTCGTAATGGTAATGCGTTAGCAAGGTCATTACGTAATGCTTATACGTTAGCAAGGTCATAACTAAATGGTATTACGTTAGCAAGGTTATTACGTAACAGTATTACGTATGCAAGGTCATTACTAAATGGTATTACGTTAGCAAGGTCATTACGTAACGGTTATACGTTAGCAAGGTCATTACTAAATGGTATTACGTTAACAAGGTCATTTCTATAATGGTATTACGTTAGCAAGGTCATTACGTAACGGTATTACGTATGCAAGGTCATTACTAAGTGGTAATACGTAAGCAAAGTCATTACAAAATGGTATTACGTTAGCAAGGTCATTACGTAACGGTATTACGTTAGCAAGTTCATAACGTAATGGTATTACGTTAGCAAGGTCATTACATAACGGTATTACTTTAGCAAGGTCATTACTAAATGGTATTACGTTAGCAAGGTCATAACTAAATGGTATTACGTTAGTAAGGCCATTACTAAATGGTATTACGTTAGCAAGGTCATTACTAAATGGTATTACGTAAGCAAGGTCATTACTAAATGGTATTACGTTAGCAAGGTCATTACGTAATGGTTATATGTTAGCAAGTTCATTACGTAATGGTATTACGTTAGCAATGTCATTACGTAATGGTTATACGTTAACTAGTTCATTACGTAATGGTATTATGTTAGCAAGGTCATTACTAAATGGTATTACGTTAGCAAGGTCATTACTAAATGGTATAACGCTAGCAATGTCATTACGTAATGGTATTACGTTAGCAGGGTCATTACGTAACGGTATTACGTTAGCAAGGTCATAACTAAATGGTATTACGTAAGCAAGGTCATTACGTAATGTTAATACGTGAACAAGGTCATTACTTAATGGTATAACGTTAGCAATATCATTACTTAATGGTATAACGTATTAATCTCCAATCTGTCAGGTCGTCTGTGCGCATGATACATGTAGTAAAAAACAGATATATAAGGAAAAATCAGGTTACTTTGTTCAAACACGCATAAATATCTCTTCACTTTTAAAGGCTAATTTTGCTTTAGAAATGCTTTTATTTTAATTTCTCAAAAAGAATTTAAGTTTGGTGTACTCTTATAGTATCCAAAAAGTTACTCATTGGATTTTTACCGAAACCATTTATTTCATCTGCTGCTATTTGGCAATCAGTATTGTTATAGTGAATATGTATTTTGTATGGAAGTCAAAATACCACATTATGTACATTTTGCCACTTTTATGACAAATTATATCACTATTTTTTTCAAGTAACAAGCATTGAACATTTCTCTGAAACACTATTTAAACATTTTAAAATTGATGTTTGCACGTAAACATTAATTTGTGTCTGAGTCATAATGTGCCTTTAAATCAATGTTTTTAATACAATTAACTCGAGGAGTGAAATTTGTCACTGCATAATTAAGACGTTGGCATAATCGTTCATATTGTGTCTTCTCTTATGACTGTCTGATCATCTGCTCGAAGGTTCCCTCTCTTTTAACAATCATTTTGGCTCTTTAGATAAATGTTCCCCTATATATTAGATCAAAATCCTTATAAAATTGTTAACCAATTATAAATAGACTGAGGATATTGAATGGAATGAGGGAAGGTTCAATGTTGAATGTTTTGAACGAGTTGAATAAAATCATATTATCCGACCTTCTGGCGAACAAAATGTTATTGAATAAATTCAGTCATGAACCTACACGAATATAATATTCTATTTATCACATTCTATGAATGAAGACTGTTTAAATTGCAAAATAATCATTTTTTTTTAAGTTCTAAAGTCTCATTTTTCATTAGCGCGCCAAAAGTGTAACGCTAACATATAGCGCGTCTTTACTCTTTACGTAATAGATTGCCGAGTGTTTTGATCTTCTTCTTCCTTTTTTGTATCATAGTCAAACATAAAAACAGTCCCGTGTTGCCACGCACCATGAAAACAGAACAAAAAGTATACAATGAACGAGCATCTGAATGATTGATATCAATTTCTCGCTTTTGTGCACTGCCTCTGTGAGTGCGGTAAAACATTTAATACTGCACATTCCGAGTTAACGCAGCGTTTGCCATGTATATCCATGTATATCATATCATTTAACTTGTAACAGCATTTTCGAACTATTAACGGACCCCAAACTATCATTACAAGAGAGGATAGTTGTGTCCTTACGCAGCAATGACGTCACGTCGAGAATATGACATGAATCAGAGGACCTGCAATATACCATTTTTCAGCAGAGTCGAAAAAGCGGCACGTGGTAAATGTGCACAATTCTTTATATTTTCTACTAGGGAACTAGAATCATTTTTTTGACAAATGCGAACACGCATCTGACAAAACACTCATCATTCGACTCACACATCAATTGCAGAGCTGGGCCTGAGACATTTTTGAATGCAACTTTGACAGTTAAGGTCAAATATGAAATTTAAATAATTGTATTTGCTCGTTTTTTTTAGTAGTCTATACTGAAATATTCTTCTTCCGATGAAAAAAAGTCGAGTTTGCTGTGACTCTTGATTGTAATTTATTTCATTCGTTGAAAATGCAGATCTAATGATAGTAAATAATGTCCTGCGCGAAAATTAACCAATCCGCTTTGACTTACAGATTCTACTCACTGAGAAGTGGTCGTAATCACATAACTAGTTTACTTACGGCATTATTACGGAGATTTTTATACACACTAACATGGCATACTTGTGCTAGCTATAATAATAACTCTGTCGTTATATAAATATTTGTGTTTTTTTTTGTTTCAATATGTGAAATTATTTATTCACTCAACAAAGGAACAATTATGCATAAACAGAAAATGTTTCGTGTAGAATTGCAATAAAGGTAAGTTTTGTACAATTACTATAAACTTAGTCACTAGGTTAAATTGATATGTTTAGGAAATAGATATCAATTCTGAGTGCATTGTTGTAGAATAATGCACGGTTTGAGTTCAAATGCGTAGTAATATAATCACGAAGGCCGATAGGCCTGAGTGATTAATTACAAAGCATTTGAACGAAAAACTTGCATTATTATACAATAATGCACGAAGAATTAATATCTATTTCCATTCTAACACGTCAAGAAAAATATAATTATTATTATAAAGTTGGACTTTATGTTGGGCGGTTAAATTTGTTTTCGCCTTAGAGTTTCAAATAGAAACGTTCTTTAAAGGCCGTTCCAGTGGGTTGAAAAAACTGTCGTTAAATCTACCGTGTGTAGAAACATTTTGAGAATAACGAATTTTGAAAACGTTGATAAAACTTTGTTTGTTTATTTTATTTCATTCTATAATTTTCCAAGCGAAATACAAATTATTAAAAGTGAAATAAATGTAAAACTTAACTCGTCTGTGACGTTAAAATAGCGTACTTGATTTTGATTGTTTTGCACGTGCTGTTTGGCGCTACATTGTGACGTCACGTAAACAACACTTTAAACGTCTGTACAGCGTTAACGACTGAATTAAAGATATTGGTGTTCGGATTTATTTTCTTAGTTAGACCATTTTCTATCATTCTAGATAGTTTTCACAACAAAATTCGACAAAAAATTGTTTTTATTTATCAGATTTTTCAAACAAAATGGCGCCCTCAATGTGAAAATACTAAGGGAGATAATAAGAACGGCGAGTGCATTGTTGCAGAATAATGCACGCTTCGGGCCTTCTTTGTCTATATAGAAAAATTTCCGATAGTGTTAGAATGTTTATTTAATATCCAACGAATATTAAACGGGATGATCCAAAATCTAAATGAGGTTAAATAAGTCATGATCGATATTCAATAACCATTAAATTATTCAAATATTACACTAGCCGTAGCTTTTGTAGAAGCGTTGCCCAATGTGTTACCGTCTCCAGTGACAGGTTGCTGTGATGACGACAAATGTACAGATAGGTACGGTGGCATAGAGATGACGAGTGTGTGTTTTTATTTATCTCGTGAGAACTAGATACTGTGCCGTGGCAACGAGTTATTTATTCGTGCGCACGAGATAATTAAGTGGTAAGCATGAGATGTTATGTCGTGGCCGCAGGTAACTTAGTTGTGGGAACGAGATAATTAGGTGATGCGTACGAGATACCATGTCGATGCCACGAGTTATTAACTCGTGCGCACGAGATGCTTTGCCGTTGCCACGAGTTTCTACGTCATGGGAACAAGAAAATAGGGTAGTGCGCATGATAAACTATGTCGTGCGCATGTGTTTCTTAGTCGTGCGCACTAGATAATTATGTGGTGCGCACCATGTACTATGTCGTGGCCACATGCTTCTAAGTCATGTACAGGAGATAATTAAGTCGTGGGCATGAGTTAGTATGAGGTGCGAATGAGATAGTAAAGTCATGCGCACATGATGATTTACAAATCAGATAACAATCTATATAATATGAACTTTAAAACTTCCTGGTTTAAGTTGTAAATGCAACATTTATCTTTGAAACTACTAAAGGCATATACTTTATGCTTGGTATATGTCTTAAGGATCATATTAGGAGATCACCATCCAAGGCCCGTAGATTATACTTTAATTTTAACTATGTTAAGTCCCTTTGTAGGCACTATCCTCTGATAGAGATTATCAGTATGTATACGTACTAACGGCCTGTTAACCATTCTCATACGATAATTTGAGAAGATATAAGCCCTTGTTTATTATATTTAATAGGAACATTGCCCACGGCCAGTAGATGACCTACATTGATGACTAAGGTCACAGGTCAAAGATCAAGTTAACCAACACGCGTCATTTAAAATTCTTGTCTGGTGAATAACTTGGTATATAATCTATTTTATAACCTAGTATGTACATTTCACCTGATCAGTAGATGACACCTTATGATATTGAGGGCATAAGGTGAAAACTCAGTGTCATAATGACGCTAAGTTTAACATTATGGTCCAATAAATAACGTTTGTATATGACACTGTGACAGGCAAGTGAAGTAGGGCCAGCATTGTATTATTGCTCATTTGTAGGTAACTAAGAAGATGCAAAGATATAATGTAATCTGATTGATCAATTATCTTGTGTCAGGCGCACGACTTAGTTACTCTTGACCATGTCATGGTATCTCGTTCGCACCACTAAATTATCTCGTGTGAAAGACTTACTGAATCGTGGCCGCGACATAGTATATCGTGTGCACAACTTAATTATCTCGTTCCCACGACTAAGTTACTCGTTCCCACGACAAAGTATCTCGTGCAAAACTCAATTATTTCGTTCCCACGACTAAGAAATTCGTGGCTATGACATAGTATCTTGTTCGCACGACTTACTAGTAGTTGCTCGTGGCCATGTAACACCGCACTTTGGGGTCAAACGCACTTTGGGGTCCGACCCCAAAGTGCGTTACGCATTTTGGTGTCAAATTTGACCCCAAAGTGCGTTACAAAGGTACATATGCAATTTTTAACATAAAACAAACGACTGCACTTTGCGGTCATAATGTTTAAATCGATAAGAATGAATTGTAGTGATATTTCAAAATAATATCTTGAAGTTGATGCCAATTATAAATATAAATAAGGAACGTAATAGACAAAATGTATTAAATTTAAGAAAATAATCCCTTAAGAAAGTCGAAAACGGCAAAACTGGAACTGTTGCTGGCTCGGTTTGATTTAGCCTGTCCATGGACGGTACTGTCAAGTGCAAACTACCGTCCACGCCCCCTAGCCCAAGCTTAACCAAAATTCAGAATTCAAACACAAAAATGGTGAAATTTTGAATTTAGAAACATCCGCAGATGTGCTCATTAGGCGGTTTACACGAACCTTCAATGTGACACGTAAGTGCCATTCGATGAAAAGCGGCTTATGGTTCCCGAGCAAAAAAAAGCATGTGCCACAAAGTGTGTGCAAAGAAAGCCGGCTGACAATAGCAGACAATAAAATATTTAATTTGTTATATCTAAAGGTTGCAATTTATTATAATTATATTTTATATTCTATAATTTGTCTCATATGTTAGTGACCTTAGAGTAAGATATAATTATATGATGCGTTTTGTATGTAATAATACATTAGATATCATATCCCTGAACTAGCGTTTTATCCCGATAGTTGTAGAGATTGCATGTCACACATATTGCCAATATAAATTCTGGATTTTCTATATTCAGTTTCTAGTTATATAAGGGAAATTACATTTCTGTATGCATTCATTATTTATAGTTTTTTTATGTTGAACGTTATAGAAAAAGACTTGCTTGCATTGAAAATAATCTAGTCTGTGTCAATCTGTTAACCACTGGGGAAAACGAAACATTTAAGATGGCTCCCAAGACGGTTGTCATATTATTAAAATTCATCATACTCATAAGTTAGATAAAATTCAATTCAAATTATGGCAGTAATTATTTTAAAACACGTATATCTTATAATTTTCGGAAAAAGCCATCTAGTCTTATTTCAAAATTGCAGCGATTTTAGTGGTACATAAAGCTGATATGTTTTGCAAAACCTAAAGTATTACCCAATTTAACATGTAAGTTTTCTTTGATCCACACTATAAACTGTCTCGTTCTGTAAAATAACTTTTACATTACATTTTAGTCCTTTCAGTTTATTTATTTGTCTTAAAACGGCGGCGCCCAAACTGGCCACTAATTAAGAATAAGTCGTTGCGGACATATAAAAGGATAATTAAGGAAAGTTTAAATTTACTAATAGTAGCAGTTACCTTCATAAAATAACAATACTGGTACCTGACAAACTTAAAAATCATGAGAATTTACGAGATAAAAAAACGAAATTCACCATAAGACATTAATTTGACTGATGTTGTTGCCGTAACGCAAATTTATTGTGATAAATTATATTTCTATTTTTCTTCTTACAAGTCATTTAGACAGAAAAACAAAATGCACTGAGATGACATTAACTGCATTTTATTGCATCCTAATCATATTTAAAATGGGTTTCAATATGACAAAAAAGCATATGGCTGACAGAACAGGATATTTATGAAAGCATATTTTATTCATTAGGAATTAAACATTTACAATTTAAGTACTATAGTAGTTTGTTAAATGGACGCAATCTTTAAGTATTTCAAGTGGAAAAGTTGAAAATCTCTTACCACATTAGCATCAAACATATTTTATTACTGCTACATCAGAATTAAAATGAAGTTTAGTAAGATTGATGTATATAAGTCTCGACGACCGGCATCTTGAACTCCACATCAAATGTTCAATGTCGCAGATAACAAACCATCAGTTCTTAGTATCTAAGCAGAACTCAGTTGACATTTTCAGAACTTTTGTACTCAAAGTCGGTTGATATGAAGCATATCGACACATTTTGGGGTCAATTTCACGATTTTGAACCCCAAAGTGCGTTTGAACCAAAATTGCGCTGTGAAATTTACCGCACTTTTGGGTCCGACCCCAAAGTGCGTTTGGCCCGAAAGTGCGGTGTTACATGGCCACGACATAGTATCTAGTGCAAACCACTTAAATATCTCGTTCCCACGACTTAGTTTCTCGTGACCAGGTTATTATATAACGTGCGCACTACTTAATTATCTTATGCACACGTCTTATTAACTCGTGGCCATCGTGCGCTCGAGAAAAAATAACCACGCAAAAATGTCAACTCTTTGTCACCGTAAAAGTCGGATGAAAAGTTTGTTGTGTGTAACTGAACATTCAAAACAGTCTTTTATGGAATTGGACCAAAGGCTTTATATTTCAATCTAATCATGTGACGTATACGTTACAATAGCAAACATCAGATATTTTGTTTTTCCATTTAAGTCAAGACTATATCTTCTATTTAATCGGTTGCTGGAAAATCCTCTCTTACATCCCGTGTTAGACAAAATGT